ACCCGAAATCACCTAATCCTAGACCTAGATGGCGGTTCCCTACTACGTTCACTCGAGAGCAAGCAGTTTGGACAACCATTGGCGTTGGGCACTGTACTACAAGACGCAATAGCGACTGGAGAGATAATGCCGCTGAAGCAGTTCCTTGCGGCCAAAGAGAGCATATACCACCGCTCGTGGTCCAGTTTACCGTGGGCGGTATTATCGTGGGGACTACGGCAGGCTGGGATAGGTGCACCGGGCGACAACCTACCCAAGGGCCAGTTCGTAGTACTGCAAAACTTAGAGGTAGCCGCAAAGGCGTTCGGCGAGGCTACCGCAGACCGTACATCACCATTCGAGCGAACCTTCTCGAAGGCACATTTCCAACGGACATTTGCTGAGGGCATACTCGAGAATCAGGAACGGCTGTCTGACACTGACTTTGAAGTTCTAGTCAAGTTTCTGTCGCGGGACAAGAACATACTAACTACGGATGGAAACACGATAAAGATCAGGAATAGCGCCGAAGACACCGCCATTACGGAGGAGGACTCAGCCATCGCTTCCCTAAAGGAGCTAATGGAGGACCTGACGCGACAGACCGAGATCCTAAACCGCCGCATCGACGAGTTGAACGTCACGGCCCAAGATGCCGTGCGCCGAAAGAACCGGGTTGCCGCGCTCGCTGCCCTCAAGTCAAAGAAGCTGGCCGAGACAAACTTATCTCGACGGCACGCTACGCTCAGCCAGCTCGAAGACGTAGCAGCTAAGATCGAGCAGGCAGCGGACAACGTGCAGCTGGTCAAGGTTATGCAATCGAGTACAGCAGCGCTGCGCAACCTCAACGCGCAGGTCGGTGGCGCAGATAAGGTAGATGAAGTACTGGATAACCTGCGCGAGCAGATGGGCGAGGTAGACGAGGTCGGGAACATAATCGCGGAAGCAGGACCAGCGGCTACTGTCGACGAAACCGAGGTCGACGACGAGTTCGAGGCCATGCTCGCCGAGGAGCGGAAGAAGGAGGAAGAAGCAGAGAGGATCAAACGCGAGGCCCAAGATGCAAAGGAGGCCGAGGAGACGAGGCGCAAGTTGGCGGAGCTGGAGAAGCTCGCGCCTGTGGCTGGCAAGGTGAACAAACAGGAGGATGCTAGACCCATCACACCTATTACTGCTACAGCGAATGAGCTGGGAGAGATGCAGTTACAGAACGACAATACGGCTCAGGAATCGGCGCAGACGGCTGAATAGGTAATTCACGAATTTACTGGGACCATCCGATATACCATTTTGATTAATGCAAATTACGTTAAACTGTATTATGACATTACCGTTGTGCCATGTGAAGCATCTATATCTACTCTGCGTCTCTCGCCGTATCCATCTGAAAGTGCTGCGTCTGAGGCATCCGAGGCAACATCGCTTGTTAAATCGATTATCCTAGGAGCTCGTATAGGCTTCTGCGGCTCTTCTGGCTCCTCTGGATGTTCTAACGAAGCCATCATCTCCTCGTCTGGCTGTGGTGTTGGTTCCCCCTCTCCATTTCCTTGATTTCCAACTATGCTCGTTTTCTGTTCCCTGTCTGGCTCCTCGCTGGAATTTTGCTCTGCCGATTTTTTATTCCGCCGCGCGCTCGCTACTAAGTCTTTGAACGAAATCTCGTGTTTGGCCGCCCACGCGGCACCGTCGAAGTCTTTGTCTTTGATTTGGGCTCCGAGACTCAATGCTCTTGAAGTCGTTGGTGCCCTGGTACCTAATGTGCGTTCCCATACGTCCAAGTCGTGGAGAAGTTCCGCCTTCCGCCGCGGGTATTTCGAGTCGCAATTTGCGTTCCATATCGTTATCCATTCCTTATGTCGCTTTTCTTGTATTTGTCGGTTTCCTGTCGTCGGTATCCCTAGCTCCGATAGTTTCTTCCGCAGTTGCCCGTCTTTGAGCACATTGTAGTTCATCGCTGGCAGGCGCTCGAGGTTTCTAGGTGGCTCTTTTCGAGGCGAGGGAGGGGGAAAGGCGGTTGGTATGCTAGTAGACCGCGAGCTGGTGGGTTCCTGAGGCTGACCGCCTGGGCAGGACGTATCGATATGTCTGTCGACTTGCGCTTCTTTCATGCGCTGCGAGCAGATAGGACACGCGACCAGACCATCGTCGGGTTCGAAGTCCGTTGGGTCTTGGTCTGGTATACCGGCTTCTAGGCGAGCCATCTCAGCAGTTGTCTCCATGCTCCTGGACTTGCTTAGCCTCGCAGAAGACCGTAGTCTCTTGCCCTCTGGCTGACTTGTCGAACCCAGTTCCTCTGTCTCCCCTCTCTTCCTCTTCGCTGCCCCATCCTGCGGACTCCTTGCGAAAAGCAGGACATCTGGACGGGCCTTGGTGAATGCAACGACGACCTCCTCCATGGGCCAATTAGTACGTAATTTCAATTCTTGTTCGGGGGCGCGGCATAACGGGCATTTGCCGTCGTTGGAAAGTGCCCGGCGGATGCATATTGAGCAGAAGGTATGGTTGCAGGAGGTTAACATTGGCGTCTTGTAGAAGTCTTTGCAGACTTGGCATCGGAGTGTAGCTTCTACTGCAGCTAGGCCAGACAATGGCGTCGATAGCCAGTCTGTCGAGTCAGCGACATCATCGAGGGCGGCGTTCCCTTTCATCGGGATCGGGCAAATTGAGTAAAGCGTTTGCAATGAATTGATCAAGGTAACTAACTACGTAGTACCTGGGTAGCTAACGAGGTTTTGGAGAGCTTCAATCTGTGTAATTACTGGGGATTGGAGGTTCTTAGTATTATATACTGTCTATTCTTTGTTTATATCATTAAGACGTTGTTCTTATTCGGGACGAAGAAAGTCGGTATAAGGTTGAATTGCGCATGTCAAATGAGATCATTGTGTCGCGACTACTGCCTTGACGCGATTGCCACTTAAAAATTGTTGCCCTGCTACTGGTTGACTCTACCCCTAGCCCCACCACTTAACGCGTTTGACCAGACGCGACCAGCTACCCAGGTACATTTACAACTTAATCGGTTAAGCTCCAGTCTTCACTGGTAACAAAACGTTCTCGCAGGTTTATGTAGCAAGAAAACCCGTCGGCACCCGCTACGTTCACCCGGCCATGCTAATAAAGAACTTACTTAGTTCTCACTAAAAGAAATGAAACAGACAAATACTCAATATGGACGACTACAGACAATATCTAGCTCAGAAGATCCTTACTGAGGACCAGCTGGTGAGTTATGATATGCATCAATAGCTAAACAGCACGATATTAACACGCCTTCTCTAAAGGTCACCTACCGTCTTCTGAGTCGGTCCTTGAATATCCATGTAAATACAGCCAAGGAGTATGTTTACTATCCCGTATGCTTGGCAGAGGGCTGACGTTTCCCAGGATGCTCTATGAATTTCATAAGTGGCAGAATGACAAACGTCCAGCTTCCCTTCACGCTACATATCTGGTGTACGGCACAAAAAGCGTCGGAAAGGCAGTAATGATGGAAGAACCTAATGGAGATATCGAAATGACCGATTCGCAAAATTCAGATGAGTTTCACAACCATTTCTCAGATGAGGTTCCCACCTATACACTCTCCCTTGTTAAAGAGGAGCAACTGCAAGGTTGGTAGAAATGCTTCAACCTTACCGTGAATCTAGCTAAGAAAAAGTAGGTGTGCTGGCTGAATATGATGAGGTCACATCAATCCACGTCTATAGCCTAGCCCCTCATCCACTCAAGGACCTTCAGCTCCTAGCCGAGACATCACGGCAAGTTATGGAGCTGTCAACAGGGGGCAATGTCCCAGCTGCAAGCAAGATATTTGGCTCGATCGCCAACCCCAATGTATTCAAGAGGGAGCGCCGCGGGGGAGCACCGAAACCTGTCGCCAGTGCACCTACTCTCAAGGCTGCGCTGAAATCCGAAAACGACCAGGAGGCGAAGTCTGCAGGTGAAAAGGAGGAACCGAAAGTTGCTTCTCAAGGGAGTGCTAAAGGTTCAACGCCAGCGGCACCTGCCAAGAAATCGGGTGCTTCCTTGAAGCGACAGGGCTCTTCAACGGGCATTGGACAAATGTTCGCCAAGGCAGCTGCCAAACCTAAGAAGCCTGCCGCAAAAGCCGCCGAGCAGCCCGCTACGACGAAAGCCGAAGAGGAAGACGAGAAGATGGCCCTATCTGACGATGGGGAAGATGATGCAGGACCAGAGGCCAAGCAGGAGGAATCAGGCATTAGCAGGCAATCACGAAGGGATCGCCAAGCAGAGCTCCGTCGCATGATGGAAGAGAGCGACGAAGAAGAACCCGAGAAACCGGAAAGTCCCCCGGAGGAGCCAATGGAGGAGGAAGAGCCGCCTCAGCCAGAAGTGGAGCCTAAAGCAGAAGAGCCCGCCGAGATAGTGTCGAGTACGGGTGGCGGCAGGCGAAGGGGAAGGCGACGGGTTACTCGTAAGAAGCAGGTTATGGATGATAAGGGATACCTTGTGACGATACAGGAACAGGGCTGGGAATCGTTCTCGGAGGACGAAGCGCCTCCGCCACAAAAGGCGAAACCCCCGCCGGTCAAGTCGGAATCCGCTGCGAAGTCCAAGAAGGCGGCAGCGAAGGGTCAGGGCAATATCATGTCTTTCTTTTCGAAGAAGTGAAGACAGAATTATGCTCTTAGAATCTAGTGTATAGAATACTATAATAACTCTCATATCTAATACTACTAGGTAGATAAACTGGCTCAACTATTGTCACGCCGCGGGCGTACACTGTGCTTTGCTTCAATTCGCAATGGTACATATGTACATGTATCCATCACCTAGTAGTTTACTCAAATGCTCAACCGACTCTCCTTGATCTGGTGTGGCCCTCACGACGACTAAATAAGCGTATGTTAAAGATGAAATATCCAGATCATCCAAGTTAGACGTCCTCTCTGTGAGCTGTTTTGTCCTTCAATTGGCTAAAGATTTATCGGCCGGGTCCGTCATTGGGGCTATCTATGTCTAGGATTTTAGCCGCTCATATCGATTATCACGATAGCGCCCGACTAGCTCATCGGTAGAGCGCCTCACTAGTATTGCTATTTCGCAGTGAAGCCTTGGATTCCTGCTTGTGGGGTACTGTTATGAGGAGGCAACAGGTTCGATTCCTGTGTTGGGCAATTTTCTTTTTCTTGTCTCTTGTGTATAAATGATTACATAACTCTAGACTTTTCTTTCCGGTTGGTTGGGAGAGAACGTGGATACTCACACGCGCCGACGGCGTCAAATGTGAAGTTTGATACTGACCAGTAATGAATATTCAGTAGTACATAAGGTAGCATAGTACAACGATATGGGATATTTACATTATCACAGTCGTATATATCATACCCAAGGCGGCCTTACTGTAGCATCTTCCCGATTCTCCGAATGGCATGATCATGGACTTAGATGTATACATGTATGTATCTTGAACGAACTTAAATAATGTCGTTTATGCATCAACTGGAATTTAGCATTATTGAAGTCGTGTGAGACATATGCATACAGTACATACGTACTTAAATAGGGTATGCGATCGACCATTTACGTGGATGCTTACCTACAGCCTCCAGCTATGCATGGAAACACTACCAAAAGCACAACCACCACCACAACGTCGTTGCAGCGCAGCGTGTTCCGCATATGAGTCATGCGAGACGCTTACAATATGCGCAGGTGACGTTGATAAACAGGAAATAACCCAGTCGGACGATGGACGATCGCCGCGACAATTGGCATATGTAGGTCTATGCTTAGGACAATTTGGATGCCTCGAGTAATTACCCCCATCACCGTCAAAGATATACGCAATCTGGCAATACACCGAAATTCAAGGAGCCAATTCTAATAACGGCAAAGCTACGACAAGTACTGTAGGTACTCTTGACGGGGGAAATAAGTGCCTCGAATAAGAACGGAAATTTACGTAAGCGGACAAACGGAGGAATCACGAGGCCGAGGGTAGACGGGGTTAGGTTCGGACTCGGACGTTGAGACCGCTGCGGTCCGAAAAACACGAGGGCAGTGCAGGGGTTCCAAGCTTAGGAGAAGTGAGAGCGTCGCGGAGCATTTTCGTCGCAAGGAGCTGAATGCTGATCCCGTGAACCATTTCTGCATCAGAAGTTCCAAGGTCCTTCGAATCAACCCCCCACTTGCTCGCTTAAGCTTCGAGGCGGCTGAATGGATATAATTGTGCAGTTTGTTAGAGTTGTTAGAAGGTACTGTAGGTAACTTTTGAGACATACATAAGAGAGCGAGTAAGCTATTGCGTCGCGTGCCGACTCTGAGACATCGCTGGACGAAGTCTCCGAAGAGGCGCGGAATGATAGTTGACACCAGATAGAACAATCGAGACCCGAGAGGGGTTTGAGAGATGTATGCCTATTTTTCTTTCTTATGGATCAACGATATTGGAAAGTGCCATTAGTTTACAGCTCGTTCGCATAAATCTCAACGAGATTGCTATCACCTCGCTATACTAGGATCTTGGTTAGCCATATGTTAGCAAGTGTTAGCAAACAGCTATAGTGATAACAGGTAGAAGCTTCTCTTCAATGGGATAGAAAACAAGTCTTGCCACCGCCAAGTTGAAATGCCGTTCCCCTAAGAAAACAATCTGGGGTACCAAGCTTAACATCATGAGACTTCTCCGCGACAACTTCAATCAGTGCTATTCTGTGTAATACAAAAAGCGGGATGCTATAGCTGTATAATAATGTACCTAAAGAGCGGTCGTAGGCTCCCCCTCGGATCCCGACAGACTGGGATCGAGATTCCGGCTTCACCCACTACCTAGGATGATGGCGTTGACTGCCTTTCCTCATTGGGCATCTCGGCCAGAGATAGACGAATCAGGGTTCAGTCTTACAGACTAGGGCTCTACGCGCGTCCTACTCTTCCCGATTTGTTGTCTTGGCTAAGAAAAAGTTGATTCCGAAGATGCCGTGCCGCTAGTTATGACCGCACCGGTGCTATTCTCAGCCGTAGCCTGGCTGCCTGGTCTCTGTGGCATACAACTGTCATCTACGAATTTCAGGCAATGATATTGTTTCGTCATGGTATTCGTTTACCCTAGTATAGTGACGATCTGGCCTCTAATAGAGAGTTAAATGTGCTATCTACATAGGTAAGTATTCAGGATGGTTCTAAAAATTATCGGGAATGACGACTTTGAAATAGCACGGGTTAATCTGCCTGTCATTCTTATCTGATCTGCCTGGGAGCCCATCCGTGCTTGGATTGATATACATACATGTACATCTCGATCTATACAAAGTACTCGGACTTGAGACTTTAAGATTTCTATACACCTGGCAGCTTACTACTATATACTTTATACATATTAGGTGTGCCGTAGATTGGCATTGATGTTGTATTCCTGGCCACCATATTAGATATGATCGTTTTCATACATGTAATATACCATGTAGGTCTAGTATCAATTGATGAACTAATAGAGGTATAGAGTAAGTAATAAGTATGTCGTGTGTGACCTAAAACGTACCTAGGTAGTGCCTGAGTCACAAAAAAACCCCCCAGCAGAAATAATAAAATACTGGCGGGGTGAAGAAGCAGCACTGGGCAGCTGCACGAAACTGAATGCTGCTGGTGGCCGCCAGGGCCCAGGGCTGCATTAGGGGACTAGGTACTAGAGACTCACCATCGGACCTACCAAGGTAGTGACACTAACTTGAGGCTTCCCGGATCCTTCCATGTTAGGGGCTCCACTGACTTGATTGGAAGTGCGTGGAAATGTAACCCAAAAATTCAACTAGAACTGTCAGCAACAGAAGGAACCGGAGGCATTTAGAGCATCCATGGATAGGGCTAATGCACACACCACAACACCCTAGTCCACTGGACTTGCTTGATCTAATTAGTGCTGCTTTCTTTGTGATCGACCCCCCTGTAAATTCCGTACACTTTGCAAAATACGATTGCCTCCATTTTATTGCACCCCCAAATTCAATATCATCCGCCAAATCCCATCCACCGCCTCCCGTTCTTTATGATAAGATTCCTCTCTTACCTCTGTATTCACTTCTTTTTTGCATTCCCAATACCCTTCTTATTTTAAGATAAGCGCGTTTGTTTGGCGGCTGTGGTGCTGTCAAATGAACCTGCAACGACCAATTATATCCTTTCTCTATGTAAGTCGTCATTGATTTCTGTGATGTTGCCTCTTCGCGTACGCGTTTACGGAAGAAATTTTGCACAATTTTTTTTTCGAGGGACAAAGTTTGCCAAATTGAGTCTTGTGCCTACGGAACGCAAACAGATCTCTTCACTACCCCCATATCCGAATTTGAGCGATGTGCAGAATTTATGAGTATACTAACTAGATTATTTACCCTTTCTCTAGTCACCCTCCCCTCCTGGCGTCATCTAAATGCCCACCATCTATTCGTCCTTGTACCAGAATTTCATCCGTCAAGGATTTGCGAAATCTTTCACCCACGGCTACGCGCAATCTGTCGTAGCTGCTACTCATCCCCATGTTCTAAATTCACAGAACCGTCCGTCGTTCGCTCGACGTAACAGTCAGCGCGTCGGACGTCTCACCAGTCTCCAGCTTCAGAATGCTTTCCATAACTCGTCCTCAACCGCGAATGCTCACGAGCTCCGTCACGCGAGGGATGCTACCTATGGGAACTTAGATGCCTACTTCGAGGCCCTGAAGAAGCAGCAGGATACTGGCGATGTCGAGAAAGAGTGGACTCAATTCCAATTCCTGAAGTCTATCGAGTGGAAGCCGAATGCCTCTTCTGTTCTTGAGGGCGCCGAGTCTCAGGTGCAGGATGCCGATGCTGCTGAAGCTGGCCGGGGTGGGGCCGAGAACGCACCGGTTCCTGTCGACGTCGAGGCGGCGTTGGCGCATATCGATGCCGCTATCGAGAAGGAAATTGAAGTTCGCGAGTTGCGAGAGGCGCTGGAAGAGAGCGCTACGCTTTCCTTGAGGGCACCTACCCCATCCATTGGCAGTGGCGTGCAGTCCCGGGCTCGTACCCCCGTTAGTGAGAGGTCAGCAACACCTGCTAGCATCGCTCGCTCCGCAACTCCGCCGGTTGATTCCCAATCTCAGAGTTACGCAGACCATCTCACCAAGCTTTCCGAAGATGGACGGTATGCTGAGATTCCGGCCGTTTTCGAGGCTATGCTCGTTGCCGATATCAAGCCTATGGCCGCTTCTTATAACGCTCTCCTGGTTGCTGCTATTCAACTCCCTACCGAGAAGATCGAGGTGGTCTCCAAGGCCTTGGATGTTTATGCTGATATGATGAGGCGGAAGGTCGTCCCGGATAGCGACACGTACAACATTCTGGTTGGTCTGTTGGCGGCTCGATGCCTGGAAGTATCGTCCCTCAAGAAAGGTCTCGAGGACAAACGTCTCCGTTTCGGCGGTATGGACGAGCCTGGTAAGTTCATGTTCGCATCAAATGAGCTGGAACACGCCATTCTATCGGAGGACGATAGGCTCGACCTGGCCATAAGGCTGTTCGAGACGTCTGTCTTGACCTACAGGGCGAACTACTCGTCGGAGACTTATCATCAACTTATCTCTGCATGTGCCCAAGCCGGTCGTGTCTCAGACATGCTACACTTGTTTGAGCATATGGAGCTGAGTGGTACTGTACCTTTCGCTGCCACCTTCCCTTCGATGATCACCGCATTCGCCAATACCGGCGATTTGGCCAGTGCCGTCGAATGCTACAATGAGTATAAGGACCTTGCCATCGCCCATGACAACGGTAAATACACGCTGAATGACCGACTGGACTCACAAGTTTACGCTTCGGTTATCAATGCCTATGTCATCAACGAGAAGTTCGCGGGCGCTAAGAAATTCTACGAGAAGATTGTGAGTTCGTATGGAGTCCGTACCGCCGAAATCCACGACGCTATTATCAGCGGTGGATTCGTCAAAGGCTTCACCGCTAGGGGTATTTACCACGAAGCTCTTCAATGGGCTCAGAATATTGAGGATAACACCCGATTAAGTGCCATGGCCGATGTTGCGACTGCTGCTGCTGATTCTGGTGACCACCATACTGCGGTTGCTGCCTTCGCCAACATCCCCGTGGCATTCCAGGGCGTTGCAACTCCAGCCATGGCGTTGCTGGCTCTGAGCGTCCGAGAG